ATATGACTATGTTTGCCCCTAAAAATTTCAGGCAGATTATGTGTTGGGTGAAAATCCTACGAAGATGAGTTATCTTGTGGGATATGGAAGTCATTACCCAAAATATATACATCGTAGAGGATCTTCCATTCCAGTTAATGCTACAACTGGTTGCAAGGACGGATTCAGTTTAACTCATCTTTTACCCGAATCCTAATGTAGCATTTGGAGCTCTATTGGGTGGCCCTTTTTATAATGACACATAATGATTCAAGGAACAACTCAATGCAGGCTGAACCAACCACTTATAGTAGTGCCTCTTGGTTGCTCTCTTATCTGGCTTGGTCGCCAGTTCCTCCCTAGTATTGTCTTTCTAGACTTTGTATGATCCAATTTTGATGTAGCATGTGTAAATACACTTGTGGTATTGTATAATCTATGTACCCTCCCTCACTTATTGATTAGATAAGGTTTGGTTATTGTTGTATATGTAAATACACCCGATATATTTCCTTTCCAAATGGCAATAATTTTGCTATGCTATTACCCTTTCCATAAGTTATGCTTCATTTGGCGTCAGTACCTACCTACCTTCATAATGAGGGGCTCTTGTACTTTGTTAAGAAAAGTAACAGGTTGCGTTTTGTGTAGAGCTTCTAGATTCCGTTTCTTAAAAATCCTTGTGAATAAACTTTTCAGTTTGGAACTTTTCTTTGTCTTAAACAGTGAAGCAGCAGTTGAATGATAATTTTTAGTTGTCTATCACTCATGCAATTGTACTCAATGGATTTGTATACTTTTTTCTTATTATAAATGAAAAATTCACTTGCAATTAAAGAGTACCACACCATTTTTTTACGCTATTATACAGCAAAAATATACTCACGTGGTTTAAAACTGAGCCTATGGATACATAACAAATAATAATAAAAAAGCTGACCCCATGGATCTGGATTTTGATATCCTATTCATCATATGTGAGAAAACAAGTGTTATTTTTTGTGACAAGAACGACTTTTTAAGCTTTGGGATATAACCTTTAGTTGTTTCTTTGCTTTTTGGATGTATTTTTTTATGAAATGGATGTATTTTTAAGATCTATGAGTATAAAAAAAATTACGAAACAAAAATAATTATATACATTATTACATACAAAGTAAATTTTAGTTAACCAAATAATATAATTGATGAGAAAGTCATTTGCAAACAAAAGCTTTTTTTTTTAATTGTTAAGTTTTGAGATTTTTGAGAAAATTATAAGCCTAAATTTATTTTGTCTTTATTTTCTTTGAGATAATCATTGTTATTTTATGCAAAAATTTTCTTTTAAATTTATATTTTATGATATTTGTAAGATTAATTTAATACTTAACAAATTAGTTCATTAAATATTTTTATTTAAAAATATTTTCACTCTACAAATGATTCTTTTGATGCAGTTTTTAAATTTGTAGTTATACATAGTTTACGAATTATATAATTCTTTTTTGTTAAATTTTTAATTTTTTTTTTATTATTTTAGGCTTAGTCTAGAGTGAGTTAGCAAACTAAGTAACTTATAAGTAAGTTAGATATATTTTAAAATCCATAATCGGTTCAGATCTTCGAACGGTAACCTAGTAATATTGATTTTTATATATTTATCATTTAATCCTTTGTAAAAATTAATAATATTTCTATTTGAACTTTTAAAACATCTTAATTTATATTTTCAAAATCATGTTATCTTTTTCAAATTCCATCCACGTATATCTTGTATCAAAGTGGTGCTTTTAAAAAAGTATGTATTCACATGTATTTATACAATTTCAATATATAATTAAAAATAACTTTTGAATCATCAAAATATTAGAATGTAATTTTAAATCTTTATGGGTTCTCTATAAACTTTATGTTCGAAGTTAATAATTTTAAAAATTTAAATTTTCACATACACTCTTCCTGTTTCAATTTATTATGAAAATGAGTTTTTTATTGATAAATTGTTTAATGCTCTTTTAAATTTTTTTCATTTCCTCCCTAAAAAGTATTCAATTGTACTATATTTATGCAATTTTTACTTAAGTCATTTTTTCTAACTTAAGCAAAAATTACAGGATAAAGATAGTTCACCAGAATTATTTTGCTTTTAAGCTATTCAAAAAATTAGGATGCTCCACGCTGACATTAGTGAGATATTGTCTATGCTTGCCATACATTTTAAGTGTCTTTTTCATTGGTACTAGTTTTGCAGCCATTTCATTACTGCTACTGTGAATGAAGTACTTGCAAAACATTTCAGACTCTTCTTCACCCTTTTTTTCAACACTTTTCATGTGATGTAGCCAAAATAGGTAAGCGATATCAATACATAAATTTCAGTTTTAAATATTGAAGTGTGCCATTAAACATTTACAGTGTAGATAATTAATGACACAATCAAGCAAGCTATTAGTTTAGTTTTATTTTCCTTTTTATCCCCTACCCTCTGACTTGAGGACTTATGAAACTTTATGTGCCTGAAAATGTTTACATAGTGAAGAATCTGGTCAAAATCTTATGATTGCAGTTGCTCAGCAATATCCTTTATGTTATCTTGTAGGGGACTTCAGGTGAAGTTGTAGATTGCTCCCATTGTAAACAACTGTGGGAACTGTATAAAGAGAAGTATGAACCATTGTGGCTCAAGGGAGGTAACCTCTGTGATTTACAGCAATTTCCTGAGTATATCAGGCATCTGAAGAAGTTCATAGCCACTGTTGAGAAGTCTCCATCCCAAAGATACAGCTTCCGAAGGAACATGGAGCAGTTTGTCCAGCAATAATGCTGACAAGCTAGAAAAACTGAGAATGTCTTTTGATCACATGGAAAGGTCACGGAGAAGCGTGGATTGTCATGAGAAGTCTAGAAAAAGCATTGATCATCAACTTGTAAAAGCAAGGAAGAGTGTTGACAGGTTGGACAGAATAAGGACCTGATGATTCTTGGTTTATTCAAATTATATATTCATGCATGGCTTGGCTTTCTGAAATTTTTTTCTTCTTTAAATGGTGGCCTATTTGGTTGTGTAATGCATTATATTAGATATGATAAATATTGGCATCAAAGGAAGGGTTTGGTTTTACAGTGGAATTCACTTTTCACTATGATGCTATCACTTCATTGTCTCTTGTTCCCTCCAAATGTCTATCTCTTGAAATTTGATGAAGTAACTAATTATTACATTTAGATATAGATTATATATCCTATTATAATTTATATTTGATTTACTATTGACTTAATATATTAAGTATTTTAAGATGAAAAAAAAACTATTTTAATTACAATTTTTCTAATTGTGTCTGTAATAAATCACTAACTTTTTATTTATGTAAATTAGTGTAAGTTGATAATCTTTTTATTTACATTTTGAATTAGGATTTACACTTTATAAACTCAATATATACTTTTTTATGATTTCTTGATTTAGATAAAATGTTTAATCGCTAAAATAGAATCCTAAAGTAATATTTAATTATTATTGTTTGTTATTAGCAAAGAGATACCACAAATTTCAACAAATGTAATATTCTAATGGATCTTAAGTTATTAAAAAAGTGGCTCAGCAATGAAATAAAAAAAATAATTATATCAAGTGTATATTATCCGTAGGTGTAAAGTAAATAAAATATGAATTATATTTTTATTAATTTGAAAAAATTATAATTATTTTAAAATTTACATTAAAAAGTTATATTAATTTTTTTTAAAAATCATAAAATTATTTATCTTTAAATTTTTTTTATCATTACACATACATATATACATAAAAAAGTTCATAATTAACAATAATTAATTTTATTTTATTTTATTGAAAAATATGTAGGTGTTAAAAATGAGATGGAGTGTAATTTTTGTTTAAGTTTGGAGTTTGTTATTATTTTGATAAATTTAAAAGTGATTTTTTCTCATGTGTCTATGGACACATAATAAGAACTTATATATAATAATTTTTTATTAAAAATTATAAAATTTAATTTATTAATATCATTAAATGTTATATTTTTTTTAGTAAAAGATTACTATTTATTAATTTTTATTATATATCTTTATACACATTGAAAAAATTTAAAAATAATAGTGTAATATATTTACTCCAAATCGATAGCATTTTTTTTTCTTTTGTTATAATCGGTAGATTATGTTCAATTGGTTAAGCAAATGTGCTTTTATAGTCTGTTGATTGCATCATAGATTATGAAACTGAAGTTGGCTTTGATTGTATCGTAAACATCTAATTATGATACACACAATTTTCTTATGTCCTTTTTTACTGTCTGTGTACGCCAAATGGCGTAAGTTCTTCTCACCCTTCTATTAATTAAAATGTAATGTAATTGTTTCTAGCATAATACATAAATACAATTATTCACATTTTTAATGTAATGATAACAGTTGGAATTATGACAACAAAATTGATTCTAATACATGATCTGTGTAATAAAAAATACAATGTAAAATTCAAAAACAAATGTAGACAACTTCATTTTTGAAAAATAACACAATTTATTCCATTACTCTAATATTCTCCCACCTTCAAGTTATTATTGTATCTTTATAAAAGGAATAAATTGGAACAACCTTTTTACAGCACAATAGAGTCATGTGGATAAATTTGAGTGTATTTGGAACCACATAATTTAATAATTGGAATCGCATATTTTAAGAATTGATTTGATTTCATAAACGAAATTCTTTGTTTTAAAAAGCCATAAAATAAAATAGGAATTGATTGGTCATCAACATGAATCGTATTGATGATCATTATATCAGCATTGATTTTTGGATTGGTCTTTGTATAGGACCCATATATTAGTGCAAAATCCACCTCAATTGATAAAATTCCAATCAATTCAAACTAGTCAAAGGGTGATGTACAAAACTAATGTGATCACCACTTTAACATGAACATTGCCTTTTAACATGTACAAAACTAAAACATGAATTAAGGATTAAACACAGTTAAGTTAATAGCTTCAGCACAATGGAAAAAATAATCACTAGAGAAATTCAAATTACTTCTTTATTGTATATGTAACTATGTATGTCTGTGTTGCACATATGTTTGCTGAGGAATAATATAACTTGATGATAAGAACTTCATATAAAAGTCAACTTCCTTGGCCTTGAGAGAACCTTAACCATGGAGTTCCTTGTTGGCATGATATTTTGGAAAGAAAAAGAAGCAGTGTCGCTAAGACTTTCTTTTCCATGGTTGATGCATGGCTAAAGCATGCTTTTTTGTATATTCTGGAACTGTCACTGCAGTTTATATTTCTTATACACAAATATACCTCAATTAGAAGGACCTTGGTAGCTTCTCACTGTATTCAACTATGGCTGATGGTGGAAGAAGGCCAGTGCTTATCTCATGCACTGTTGAGAAGAGAGGAAACAACTCTAGCCACCCACGATGGCTAAGAACCTCATAAACCTCGCTAGCAGTTGAGACACCCTTGGTGCAAGAAAGTTAGATCAATAAGCACATGAATATCAAGAACGCAAAAGCCACTATTGGTTCTAGAATTAATGGGTATGATTCTTCAATTAAAAAGAATTTTGTGCTTTGCTTTGTGGTAGGATGAAATTTCCATGAAAATGAATATCTGAACTAAGTTTGATTGCTTAATAAAGATAATGAAGCTCATAATTTATGAACATAGGAGCATGCTGTTTTCTAATTTTAACTTGACTACTCTTGTATTTAACAATGTATTAGTATAACTACACCTACACATTCTACTGTTTGTCATAGTAAGTTACATAAATGTACCTGCAATTTCTGGCCTTGTAGCATTTCTGCTTCAAGCTCATCAAAAGACCTGCAAAAATATATATAATAAATGAAACATTTTCTTTTTCTCATCCTAAATATGGACCAGAGAGAAAGAAATACAAAAACCACCTTTTCCCTCCATACTTTGCATAAGCCTCAGCAACTTTTCTGTTTCTTCCACCCACTGCCACAGATAATATGGTTTTCATGAAACCAAGATAAACAATGAAAAATAGTTGTGAACTTAATTAGCTTCCTTACAGCATGTTGTGATAAGGTCAGCCACACCACAGCTCTCAAAAAAGGTGCTGTCCTTAACAGATGGAAACAACAACTTTGAAAATGCCTTCATTTCTCTTAGACCAAGTCGCATGATTGCGGCCTACACATATATGAAAAGAACCAAAACTAACCCACAAAGATACATTGTTTTTTTAAACATTCTGATCAAAAGATCCTTTTAAACTTACTTTTGTGTTATTTCCCATCTCTAGGCCATCAACAAAACCTGTTCCATTTGTGTGTCATTCCTTTTGATTGTTCATAAAAATTGAAAAAGGAAGAGAACAAAGTGCATATACTGTACAACAAACCTGCAGCTAAGGCCACAACATTTTTCAAAGTTCCACATAGCTCAACTCCTTCAACATCCTGAACCTATTATTCATATAGAACACAAAAATCATAAATACAAACTTTAAAAATGATATCTGTGTCTTAAAATTTCAAAACAACTCGTTGCTTTAAGATTCAGTAAAGAAAATATTTCCTTAGTTACTACTAGTATGAGACAGTTTTTGTGAAACATACGAAAGTATAACATTTCTATCTCTTTAAACAAAATTTGTCTCTCCTAACTCATCGTGCTAGACACTAACATTTTCATGAAAAGTCATTCATATCAAATAGCATTCCTCAGTTTCATTCAGAATTACTGGTGATAAGTTTTTCACCAGTTTGCTACTTATATATTAAAGAAAGTGGTACACTCACTGCTGTCACAATGAAATAGGGAGTATAAAACAACTGAACCCATCTTTCTGCAACCTCTTTGTTATGCCTGTATCCAACAGTTGCTTCACTAAACTTCTCTACAGCTATCTACACAAACAGTAATAATAGTCAGAACAAAATATACAACAATAGACTGATCCTGTTAGGTAAGATTGACAATACGAATTACAGTATCATTGAAGTTGGTAAAAAATCAAACAGAAAATTACAAGAAACAATAATAGCCTGATCCTATTAGGTAAGATTGACTATATGAATCACGTTGAACTTGGTAAAAATGACTATATGAATAACTACCTCATTTGCAATGTTGGCCCCCATTAAGACAGAACAATTGATTTCAAGTTGCTGGGAGATGAGACTAGAGATCATACATGGGCCTTCCATTTTGACCTCCATCCCTTTGACAAGGGAAATAGCCTCAGCATCTGCCCTTATTTTCCCAATAAGCCTTTTGCATATTCCTTCCATAAATTGATGTGGAGTCACAAAGACTAACATGTTGGAATCCTTCACTGCATAATATACCCCAAAAGTAAATAGTGAACATTTTTAAATACTTATGGAGTTGTGTACCCTTTTCTCTATTTAAAAATTCAGTTCTTTTGGTGTAAGTTTGTGATTTTTATCTTCTAAATTATAGTATATAAATAAAAATGAAATTTCATCCAATACTCCTTTTTTGCACTCTACTACGTAAATCTCCCTTAATTGATACGACAACTTTACACCACCAACCTTTTGGATTACCCATATTACTTCTAATTTATTATATGCTTATATGAATCAGGGAGGTCAAAATAATGTAAAAAAATTAGGAATGTTGGATAAGAATTTGTTAAACTTGAATGAGTGTAAATGATATTCGTCCAAAAAATTAAATTAAATACCTGCATTTTCAAGGTCTGGATCTGCAACAACATTTTTGCCAAGCTTGATTCCAGGGAGATATTTGACATTTTCCTACCAAAAGGAACAGTGAAATTCAATTTCTGTTTTGGTTGAGTCATAATAATAGTAAAACATTCATTGAAAAAGAAATTGGACACACAATGGGAATGAAATGCATGGCGAGTCCTTACATTGGTTCGATTGATGACATCTGTGAGCTTCTCACCACTTGGTAATGTCTCCTCATATACCCACATCCTCACTTCATCTGAGTTCATCAAAATGGGAAATTTAAGATTCTAAAGGAAAGAATATTTATTTACTGAGAAAAGTTATGGTTGACAATATAGCAGAAAATTTACCCCAACTTTGGAACATCAATTAACACAAATTTACTAGTCCAAAACCTAGTAGTGCATCAAATTATTCTACAAACTTACTAGCACCAATCAATTTATTCTCTAAAAATTAAAATAACCCAAACACAAATTCATTTGTCCCAAAACTAGCAATGCATCAAATTAATCTCCAAAATTACTAGCACCAATCAATTTGATCTCTAAAATTAAAAGTATTATTTTAGTCTTTAAAACTACTAAACTGCAATCATTTTAATTCTTAGATTTATGATTTCAGGAACTAAAATGACAAACTTTTACTAACATGGAGAACTAAAATGACTCTCAATTTCATAATTTGAAGAACTAAACTTACATATTTATAATATCAGAAAGTAAATTAACTAACGAAGACTAAGTTGATGTAAAAAAACATCATCTTCATGAATAAAGAACTAAAAAAGAAGAAAATAACAAGGAGCAAGAAAATGAAATACCATGGAAGGAGCTAAGCCTAAGGGTATTGGAAGCAATAAGCTTAGCTGCAACACTACCCCAATTGCCACTTCCAATGACAGTAACTTTGGATCTGTGCATAGCATCATTGACACTGTTGAAGAAGTTGTTGGGGGGCACAGTTTCTCCCTCTTGGGCATCCAAGGCTGGAGCCATGAAGAGCAACAAAAAGACAAGTGAGCAATGCAATGCAAAGCAAAGCAATGAATGAAACAGAGAAGGAGAATAGAGGCTATGAGAAAGAGAGTGAATATAAGAAGGGTAAGAGGGTTAGGAAATGCCACAACAGTTTCGTGAGAAACTAAGTTTCAAGATTAATGTGGCGATCCCTTCTATGTTTGCAGTGTGTTTGGTCCTCTTGTGGGGCCCACTGTGTGAATCTATCCATGCATTTCTGTTCCTCTTTTTTTGCTTCACTTCATTTTATTTGTCCATTTCAATCTCAACTTATCATCAGAATAAACCCATTTTCAAATTTCATATACAAATTCAGTAAACGGGGCTTAAAATTGGTGCATCTTTCAATGGATCCATATTTAATTTGTGTTTGAATTTATTTAATATAATTTTTATTTTCAAAAATATCCTCTTTCCACTTATCATTATCATCATCAAGGTTTCTATCATCCAATTATGCATGCATTGGTAGCTCAGGAGTTATTGCCAAGGGAAATCAATTAAATTTGAGGACTAATTGATTTGAAATTGAATCCCATTTTCCCATTTTCCCATTTTCCCATTTTCTTGTTACTCTGTTTTTGTTTAAACAAATTTAGATTCATTTAGATTCAGTACATTATCTTTTTCCAATATTAATAAATTAGTTTGTTAAAAAGATAAAAAAAAATTGTCAAATTCTTCTTTATGTTTTCTCTTTGATCTTTAAGAAAGATAAAAGTTGTGACTTGTTAAATTTTAATAGATGAATATAAATAAAAATTAAAAATTAATGCAAACAACAATTTAATATTAAAAAACTAATTAAGGAATTATTCGATATTATTTTGCTTGTCTCATTTAACTAAGACGTTAAACTGAAGACGCTATCCATTTTTTTTTCCTCCTAAAGACGTTATTTTTTTAATATACATTTGAAGTACCTAAACTCAGATTTGAAGTAATTTAACAATTGGCTTCGATATTTAAGCTAATTATAAAAAGAAAATAAAAAGTGATTTTATATTTGTAAATGACCATTTAGATTAGAATTTTCTTAAAGCACGAAATCACTTAATTTCTCTAGATAGTCACCAAATATAGTATTTGATTTTTGGAAACAAATTCACGATTTCCCTTTTAATCGTGTATTTTCCTTATAATATTCAGAACTCAAGTAATAAATTTAAAGAAAAAGTATATTTGATTCTTCAGTACGTTTTGATTACTATAATTGAATAATAACTTGTAGAAATGATGGAAACCTGTGATTGTTGATAGAGGTTTGTGAGAGATCCACCGAATGTACTTTTGAACACATGGGAAGAATAACAGTATAACGTGTAGTTCAGATAACTCTGCAATGGGGCAATAATAAATACACTCAAAGGCTCTAACAATAATTGAGCATTTATTTTATAAATTCTTATGACCTAAATTTGGTCTTAAAACTTAGTAAAATAGTCTGAAATATTGTTTTGATAAGTTAAACTAAAAAATTTAAAATAATATTCTCATAAGCTCTTTTAAATGTTTGCTATATATCCCAAACCTTGTCCTAAAATATTTTCAATTCTTACAAATGGAAAATATTGTATCAGTGAACAACTAAAAGAAGAAAACCTTATAAAATCAATGTACTCACCCCAAAATTATTTTAAAAAGTGAAAGTTTGCCAAACCTTGTCCTATGGATGATCCCATTCTCTTTGATGAGAATGTGAAAATGGAAGTAAATTAGTTTGCAATTGGATGATCCCATTTTCTTCGATGAAAACGTGAAAATGGGAGTCAATCAACACTAAATTAACACAAATTATAGAGATTGGAGAGAGGCAAGGGCATGATTTTTCACATTTGACACGATCTGAATCTTACTCTTTACCTTCCATGTCCCTTGAAGGGATAAAAATACCACATGACAAGAGTAAAATAAACTTTTTTCTTATTTTATATTTCAAAAATACTAAACTAATAAACTATTTCTAATCCAGATCTCATACGCAGAACAAAATTTACCTAAATAGTAGAATTAAATGAGCATACAAAATAAACTTATCATATTATATTACATTAAGATATGATAACAGAAGTTATTTATCCAGATCTCTTATTTTGTACCCCAATCAAGAGCTTTTCCCTCAATTCAAAGTGATGAAACACTACTTCAAGAGAAGTCAAGGTATTGGAAAAATTATAGAGGCATGGTCAACTGTGAACAGTTTGAAATGATTGGTGATGACTCAGTTTTTATAAGATCTATAAAGAAACTTTGTTCATAACATTACTGTTAGTGTTAAATGTAATTAGAAAAATTTAACCAAATGTTATTTTGCTGTCATCTTTGGAATCTATGGACCTTGTTGGCCAACCTTCTCTAAATAATTAAATTCACCTATGATTGAAGGGAAGGATTTTCTACAGCAACATTTTCACCGGAAGATATCTCAACCATTAAAATTATATTATTATAAAATAAAATTTTATCAAATAATACATTTTAATAAATTTTAATGGTGAGATTAAACACTGCACCTCCCTGCAATCGATTTTGGATTTGAGCACAACTAAAACATTAGTTGAGTTACAAATTTCATACATATTCTGAGAGAACTATATAAAATATAAACCAAGATTCAGCAAACATCCATGCGTGAACCCAGTAAGCGAAGGTTTCTAAAATCATACATCATGAAAAAGGCACTTATCTATCAAGAACCCAGATGGCAAATCAAATAACAATGACACCCCATTGACACAAGCCTCTCAAATTGAAATGTGGCTACAATAATTTGTCTTGAGGAATAATTGTGCACATCAAAATTCTATGATCTTCCATGTGGAGTTGCAACAGACAAAATTTGTGAGTTTTCCATGAAAGAAAAAAAATATGCTCTCAATTTGAATCACGTTTATAGTACTCAACAATGGACCATTATGATTCTAAGCCAATGGCTAACAAAAATAAAGAATAACTGGCCGCTTTATGTTAGTATCAACCATGCAGATTTTAAGGAGCTCTGTCAAAGGGTTGTGTATCGTTGTAACAGACATCCCATACGGCTTCCATAGAATCCTTGGCAGCAAAACCAAAACAATTGGGATTTGCAGACAATGCTTTCATAACTTTTCTTCGGACACATTCCTTCAAGTTCCATTACATTTATTCAGCATTGAACAAAATACAGTAAACAAAATGTCTAAAAAAAGAATAAATTACTAAAGCAAAGACAGATATGCATGACTACAGTAATTGAATAGTAACAGATGTAATTTAAAAAAAAAAAACAAAAAATTGTACCAGATCCCAACCATGTTAATCATTTAAAGCATTTTTAATATAAATATACAACATTATTTGGCTTAACCATCATGTTGCATAGTAGAAAGCCTAGTGTTCTCTTTCTTCTCCTTGAAAGAAGAGGATATATTGAATATTAAGAAAATTTCCACATATTTTTAAAACAAGTCCATACTTTCTTGTTTTCTGATCCAATTCTCTAATTGGCTAAAACTCAAGAAACCCCCTTCAACTATATCAATGTTGTGAATTACCCCAACTTTAAAATTAGTGTAAGTTAACACCCAACACTTTTACATTATACTAGTAACCCATTCCATTAACCATCCATAATTTAAACTTCAAATAAAAGATGGAATACCTGTCTTTAACTGATCCACTTTCCAAACTTTAAGTTGTCAATCTTATCTCTACCCAGCATATGAAGAATTATTATTTTTCAAGTTACTTATTTTGTGTGTCAATATGAACACTAACATATATCTAAACTGATTATACTAAAGATCTCTTTAGTGTCAGTAAGCTAATACTACAAATGCTAGTACTTTTCTATGTAGCAGCAGGAGACTCAATAGTACTTTGCCATGTAGTTAAAACGGTCTACAAAATTGTAGGTTAGTCTGCTTCAAAATTGATGTTGGTATTCTTCAATTGGGTGGAGCTTTCTGGTTAAATGAAGAACTATGAACATTAACAATGGAGGAAATAGAAAAGGCAGGAATTCAAGGAAGAGAAACCACTAAAAAGTTGTTGTTTTGGATAGTTTTCACATCAATATTACCTAGCAGTGTTAGATTTTGAGAAAAATTAAGCACTATAAATAAATTCTGTGGGGTGAATTCTACACCAGTATAATGCACGAGGCAAATGTTAAGGGGGCAAGCTATATTTTAGCCCTTCAAATTTGTATAACCAATATTTTTTAGCATTATTTACAGGTCAAAGGCCACTATGGTTTTGAACAGCCTAATCTTTAGACATAGCAAACTTGTTATAGTGTAAAGCAACATAGAAAAAGTGATTTGATGTAATGTTCTCATAATCTTCATAGAAAAAGAGGGGGGAAAAAGGGAGGAAGAGAAAATATTAACATTCCCTTCAATTTATTATATATATGAAAAACAGTGAAAAAGGAAAAATCATGATTCAGTTTGTACAGACAAATGCAATAAAAAGAATGGTTGGTGTTTCATTTTCAAATTGTATAATGCATACTATTTGATTTTAAACCTCAATTGTCAGCTAGAATGGCCATTCAGGAGGATGGGAATTAGAGATTTGGCAACATTTGCTGGTATCAGATTAATTGAAAATACCAAGTCCTTATGTAGCAAGGAACAGAATAACGGGCATAAGTTTCCATAAAATTTCTTCCCAAGTCTTCTTTCACCAATGTTGAATGAACATCATTTGACTATGAGGAGCCTTTAGGAATGATTTGGCTATAATAAAGCATACTAAGAAGACAAACCCCCGCATAATCATATGATGCTCAACCTCAAACTTACTTTTGACCCAAAATTGAAGCAAAATTCATTTTTCAAGTCGCTAGGGCTAATAGAAGCTATATGTCCTTTCTCAAGTTTAAAAGTCAAACCAGTCCTCTTAAGGACTAACTCCCTCCATTTTAAATTTTCTATCCCCTCTTTATCTAATTCAACAACTATGTTGTCAACAAAATATATGAATCATCTTGGCAAAGCATAAGCACAAACGGTAGAGTATTTGATCATTTGGACTTGGGATGACTAGCATACATGACATGTATGCTTCCATTTTAGAATTTAGTTAACCTTAATATTTTCTCCCTTTCCGATTGATATTCAGATAATGGGAATAAAAAAGTAACCATGAAAAGCTGCCAAATGTAATAAAAAAACAATTGGACTAAAATAAATGTTTTGTATTAATGGAACAGGGCAATAGAAAGTTTACTTGTTCATGCCCTCGTAGTTTCATAAAACCTCTTAGTAGTTCCCGCTTGTAATGACAATCACCACTTAAATGACCAGCTCGTATCTATTTGAAAAACAATTATAAGTAGGGGAGAGTAAGATACAAAAACCCATCTAACATAACATGGATAAGAACATGTTGCAAGATAGAAACCTCAGTACAAGCATGATGAGCACAATCAGACCAATCCAAGTTGGCAGCACGACAATCGTCAAATGCATGAATTAGCTCACGAATTACCACCAGGTTGACGTCGTCTTGAATTCGTACATAATTGCTGCACACTCTTACCTGAGACAAAGGCACACCAACAAAGGAGAAAATTCTATTAGCCAACTGCAAACCTTCTCATCCAACCAAAGGAAAAGCATTGATTAAAATAGTATTTCAGCCATCAAAATAAGGAAGCAGGTTCAGAATTAAGAGTGTACTTCACAAACCATGCAAGTTCAAACAGCTTCTTAATTGTACATGTAGAAAGATAATTCCAATCCAACAAGAAGCTAAAGTAAACATAATTAAAACATAAAATCCCCCATTAAGAAAAAAAGAAATTAAAAAGGATATAGAAATGAGTACCCCTTCTCCACGAACATAACTACCAGCCATTTGCTGCTTGCAAGTAACAGCTTTGAAAAAATTGTCTCCCACACCACACCCAGCTTTCTCCAAACGTTCCCTCAAAAACCTCACCATTGGAGCTGTCAAAAAACATTGGAATCAACCCATTAATTTATAAAAATAAAATAAAATCTTTCAAAACAGATTCCTCAGAAAAATTGCACTCCCAATTTTGATAAAAGCGCATACACACTCACGCGCACACACAACACACACATTCAGAGATTAATAAAACGAATCCACAAAAGCAATGCGAATCAAAACAAATCCCAGAAACCTCTTCTCTTCTAACACTGGGAAAAACTACACTTTCATGAGGTGAAATTTTAAAGTTCACATTTTTCCTCGCAAAACTAAAAGTATTCGAAACCCAATCTGAACATACACTTCATCAGCGAAAAAAAGTGGATTTAACTTTAATTTTTTTTAAAAAAAAGAAAGGAAAAATAAAAGAATGGTACGATGATAAAACCCTAAACCCTCCCCAATAAGATATTGAAGATTGTTATATATACTTCGGAAACTCTTTTGAATCATGGCTTCACATTCTTCTTCGCTTTTAGATTTCTCCGTCATTGTTTGTTTTGGCTCAATTGCACAATCTCAAGTAGCACAAGCATGGAAGGTAAGCATATTTTCACATTTACTCTCCAAAATTAATTAATTGCAAATAAGTACTTGTACTTCCATTTTCTCTTCCTTTTGCCACCCTCTTGATTTTGCACTCGTTTGATTCCCCCCAGATGCTCTGAATCGAACTTGCATTCGTAATTGTAAAGATGAAGAAAGTTTATTCGAGTTGTCATCATGTCGTGGACCCCACGAATAAAGTAGGTCAATATAAAAATAGAATAAACAAAATGTTTTGTATAAATTAGAATTAAAATTTGAAAAAGTTATCATAAAAGTAAAAATGTGTGTTCAATGATATCATAGTTAAAAATTAAAAAATAATAAATTTAAATACCTTATTAATTTAAAAAAAAAAACTTGTAAAATGATCTTTATATAAGAAAACATTTTAAAATAGTTAATACCATCACTTAACATTTTATAAATAATAGTTATATATTTACAAGAGTCTTACATGTAATGTCTTAATAATATTATTTGACACAATTTAATGCATATTTAATTATAAGAATTAGTAGCTTTATTCATAATTTAGTTTCTTTTTTATTGAGCTTTTATGTTTCTCATTTTAAGAAAAAAGTAATAGTACTAAATAGTTGTATTGTTCATTATAATTTTAAAAAATAATATATTTAACAAAATTTCTCATTTCACTGTCATACTTGATATCCTAATGGAATATTTTATCAACAAAATAGTGAGATTATTTCCAGATGTAAAAGAGTGACTAGTAAATGTGTTTATTGTGAAACTAGAGAAAAAGAAATGAGAAAAAAAATAGCAATAATGATATCTAAAAAGGTGACAATATCAAACTTGAAGGCTAATTCAATTTTAATTTTGATCTTATGTTGGTTAGGTTGGTTCACATGTTTTTTGATACATTTTGTATCAGTTTAAGAATTAGGTTCATAAAGATGTAGTACTAAATATAATTCACATGTGAGTAGAGAATGGTAGGAGAGGATAAATTTTAATAGATGCAAGGGCAATGATTTTATTTATCTTTAAAAATATTCTTTGATTGATTTTAAATGAAAATTATAACAAATGACAGTGTGACAAGAACTGATCTTATCTTATAAAATATCTTACAAAATATATCATAATTTTCATAAGTATAAATTAACTTGATTACTTCAAAAATCTTAGAGTTCATCAGGTCTTGACTTCCAAATATCAACTACTCAACAAGGTCCCTAAAACAATCAAAAATTCCTTTCCATATGTTTAACAATTTGATGTTTTCTCCATAAATAATGCTTCCAATTACTCCCACCAAACCTAATCATCTTTACTCCATTTTCTAACCCTTTCTCTCCTCCTTATGTTTTATAAAAGGTCAATTATATAAAAGTTAAAATCACTGGACATATCTTTTATATGCTCACTCATGCTTGAAACACAATTGATATGAGAAAATAAAATACTTCTCATAAATTATTGGTGTCATATGATCCTTGTGATAGATCTCATCAAGTTGGATAAAATTTTATTTTTATCATATGCATATCTATTATTGACTAGGCCAACAAAAGTATTAAGATCTTGTTGAAGGAACTAGACTTGGTTCATAATCAAATAATCTTTTCTTTTCCATTCAAAAACCATTTAGCTCCAACCAAAAGATAAATTTTTTTAAAAAAATTATAGATGATCGATGTTCCTGTCATTTTAGAAAAATTATTGAAAACAAAGCAAATCTGACAAAGTGAAGATGCAACAAAATTGGAGAGAGAGAGGTAACTAGTAAGAAGCATGTGAAGGGTGGAGGGAGAGGAAAGGAAGATTAGCAATTCTACTCTTCCAAATCTCTTCTCCCCAAGATTAGTAAAATTATATTAACCAACTTGATCAAAAGACTACGGCTCATATTGCCTCCCTCTTACATATATTCATTACTATAAAAGGGTTTTAAACCTCCCCGAGAAAAAAAAAATAGGATGCATTATTTTTTGTTTGGAATTTATAATAATAACCAATACCATTTGGGATATTTCTTTTCTGTCATTGCAATGTTTTCTATAATTGACCGATCATGTGTCATAAAGTATAAGGCTAAAGCCCATTCACTTACAAAAATTTTATGAACTTGGACAAAACATCTAACTCTAATTACACACATTTAGGGTTCTTTGACCTTTACAAATTACATTTTTGGGCTGTAGGATTAAGTGAGTTTTCATATGAAAGGAATCATGAGAATGTCATGACCAAGAGAAGGAAATGTTGGAGACAAAAGTAATGACAATGACAAAAATTGGTCAGATTAGTCTATCACCTCATGAAATGATTTAGTTTTAATATTAACTTAAATATATGGTTGGTTCCTATAAATATAATATATTTTACGATAAATCTTTATAACACGCCAAAAGGTACCCTCTGAAATACTAGATAACACAAATTCTGATAAAACACATGAAAATACACAAAGGCACTAAAAATCATAAACACCGTTTGAGGTACTAGACAAGCCATTGTGAGTAAGGAATTTTGAATGAAAGTAGATATGATTTAGACACTCAACCTTTTCATAAGAAGTATAAGGATGAAAAATAAAAACAAATTCATCATCCATGATAGAAAACAAAAATTGATGAGGGATATTGCAAATTGGAGTGTAAAAGGGAAAGTGTTAAAAAAAGAACATTTGGAGAAAAATAAAGTCAACAAAAACATTCATAGGAAATTGTTCATATGACAAACATGTTTGCTCTTTAACCTAATCAAGACGAGCATAGAGACTACCCAAAAAAAAAGGGAGCCAAAGGTAAAGTCACAGCTTTTTACAAGAGCCATACAAAAATAAATACTGAAGGGATAATTAACTCCCAAGGGGACTAAGAAAAACATACCGAGTAACCCAAAAAGCAATGAAGGTTGCATACTTAAAGGAAGCAGGAATAGGAGGTTCAAACTCAAACTCACCAGCAAAAATATAATCTCCATGAAATTAACAAACCTAAGCAGTAAAAGTATATTTAAATGAAGAATGAAATAACCTTTTCTAGGATTGAGAAAGAAGATTACTTATTCCCCTAACCTTTTTAATGGATGTACTTTTGTAGCATAATGACAATTGTCTATTAATAACACATCATTTGGTAAAAAAAAAGGTCCTTGAATAATGTGCACTCTTGTTTGTATGACTCTTAAGCTTTGAATCCATGTCAATAATGGTAAGGCATAAGGATGCTGGAAAGATCCATAATTTCAAAATTTGACAGCTTTAAAAGGATGTGAACATCTTCAAGGGAAAGAGTAAACTCACACCAAGCTACAACAAAAGTATGAGTATAAGCATTCCATCGTGGAAGCAATGACTCAAAATCGTTGGAAAAATGCATAACTGCTTTACCAAAGGATTCTTTAATGGTTTATGTGATCCTTACCTTTTCTAAAATACCAACAAAAGGAAGATTATTTGACAAATGGGAAACAGCCACCTGTAGGTGATGTCTGAGAAACAAAGCACAAAGGCACCCAAGAAAATTCTTGGTTGAGCAAATGTGAGCATAGCAAGAGAGGACCCATCGTAGTAGAAGGGGTCTTAACTGGGTTATAGCAAAGAAAAACTTAGAAATCCAAGGCGGGTGTTCTCAATGGGCTAGCAAAGAAGAAATCATTACTCAAAGGAGGAGCAGGGTTGAAGTCATGCTTTGGAAAGGGCACGTCAAACACCTAACACCCTAAGACATAATGGTTCAGAGTAAGGAAGAGGAAGTTGGGGTAGATGCTAAAAGCAACCAAGGTTGGTTCAAATGGAAGAGTTTCAAAATACATCTATGAGAAAAACAATGTTTTGAGAACTAGCAAAAATGAGAAGGAGAAGAAGCCATGAAAACGCAAGAAAAAGACAAAGAAAGATGAATGCTTATTAGAAAATACCAAGAAGATGTTACAACTAAAAGGAATAATGGAAAACACTATTTAACGAGATGGTTTAGAAAAACTCATTAAGCTACCCATATAAAAAAAAAAAAAAACAAAGATCAAAGAAAGTGGTTCATCTCAAAGAAATAATAAAGAGAAATGTGGTTTTGAAAAAAGAGGATTGTTTAAACGAATATACAAAAGTCGGGTATCCAATTAATAATTATTGTGCCAAATAAAAGTTTCTTTTAACGAAATAAATAAATAAATAAATAATATGCATATACACAAATGTATCAAATTTGTTATTTGGGCATAAGGGAGTAATTGTTTTGGATATCAAGTCCAATTCTAAAGAAAAACTATTCAACCCAACAAAAATAAGAGTCTCAACATGTCAATGACCAAGCCAACATGAGAAAGACAAATAAGTACAGATTCGTGGGTTTAAGAAAAAGGAAAATCTAAAGCAAATGACATCATATTAGGACACTACAAAAAAGTGTCAATGGTAGAGACAAAATATCAATATACTCCATATGTTCTTTCTATGAATAAAGTTACTTGAAAGCATCTAATTAATGTAAGCGACTAGCTCTTGAAGTACTTAATGTTGCGTTTGGTAGTAGTGTCTTTGTACTTGAGAACATGGACACTAGTGGGTGTGATGGACATGGACATACATAGACACGAGTGTCTATGTATTGTGTTTGGTAGTTTATAGACATGTCAATTAAGTTGTGTGCTTGTATGTTATTTGGTTGTTTTAGATATAGGAACAAAAAATGTAAATTGGCACAATTGCCCTTAGATTTGAAATTTTATTCATTTATTGTTTATTACAATTTTCTCATCATCTAGAAATTTGATTATATTTTTAGGTTGAAATTGGGAAAGTAATACAAACATTTCACTCATCGTCTTTAGTAGAGACCCTTTGACTCCATCAGTAGCCATCTTTCGAAGCATTTGTAAGTTATTTCTAACTTGATCTAGTCCCACCTTACGCGGTTGATGTTGTGTGCACCAGTTGGTGATTGTATCTGTCTTTTCTGACACGATTTTCATGCAATCCTTCCCGTGGCATCGTCTCATCTACCATGGTTGCCCTCACGTAAAATCCTCCATCTTGATCTATGTTT